GGCTCTCGCCCAGGCTGGACAGTGGCCATATCTCAGCTCCACTGGCAGCTCCGCCCTCCCGGGTTCACGCATTTCCTCCTTGCCTCATCCTCGAGTACGCTGGGGACCTGAGGCGCCCGCCACTGCGCCGGGCTAATTTTTTTGTATTTTAGGTAGAGACGGGTTCACCGTGTTAGCCAGGATGGTCTCGATCTTGACCTCGTGATGCCACCGGTCTCGGCCTCCAAGTGCTGGGATTACAGGCTTGAGCCACCGCGCCCGGCCCGGCTGCTAGAAATCTTAAGTGCGGTGGCTCACGCCTGTAATCCCAGCACTCTGAGAGGCCGAGACGGGTGGATCACCTGAGGTCAGGGGTTGGAGACCAGCCTGGCTAACATGGTGAAACTCCATCTCTACTAAAAATACAAAAATTAGCCAGGCATGGTGGCGAGAGCATGTAATCCCAGCTACTTGGGAGGCTGAGGCAGGAGAATCGCTTGAACACAGGAGGTGGAGGTTGCAGTGAGCTCAGATCATGCCACTGCACTCCAGCCTGGGTGACAGTGTGAGACTCCTTCTCAAAAAAAAAATAAATAAATAAAAATAAAAATAAATAAATAAATAAAAATCTTAGAACTCCTTGAACTTTTTTGGCAGAATCTCCCTTCCTATGAGTTCAACTAGTGTTCTTAGGCACACACTCTGCTCTCCTGTATAGGGGCAGACTAGCATCTGACTTCTCTGAGATTAGTATTTCAAGAAGTTCTGCAAACTAACCTACTGAAGTTAGATTGAAGATCCGGGTAAAAATGTAAATCAGAAAGTATTCAATATATCAGGTAAAGGACATAACAGGTTATTCATGGACTAGAATACTGCTGCCTCCAGCACTGGTGCTGTACTTCTTCAAGTACAGCACTTTTTCAAATATTTGCTGATGTCAAGCTTATCCTCCATTTATCAGCAGAGGCAGATAAGGTGAGGAAAATATTTGTAGGCAGAGAGATTTCTGGAATTTTCCTAAAGTGCTGAAATACCATCCAGAGTTCAAGTTGGCCATATTTGGACAATGACTGCTATGTTATTTTTTCTATCTCTTGTATTTTCACTGCTATATAATAACATTAACACTCTTTACACAAGGTCAGTGCTATTTACCTAAGACTTTCCCAAATCTTCCCCATTCTCTCCCCTCAAAGGGTCATGACCACATTCTGTGTTTCTGAAGGAAAACATATAATAGAGGAAAAGTTTATTGAGATTAGTCAGGTGGGGATTGTAATTCACCAAATCTGCATTTCCTAGGAGGAAGACAGAGCAGAAAACTAGTCCCAGGGTTTAAAGATTACAATTCATAGAAGACGCCTATGGTTGGGCCAACACTGTATTTCACAGCAGGTGAAGAGAGAAAAAGTACAGAAAAACAAACAAGGATGGAAGTACGGTGCAGGAGGGTGCACAGTGAATAGAAGAAAATGCTATGGAAGACTACTCACCGAGCAAAACCTGTCTAGGTGGAACGCGGACTGAAGGTGGAGATGAATTCAAGGGTTTTACAGAGGGCACCTGTCACCTAATCACAGCCCCAACGACGCTACCAAGAAAGCATCATGGCCTTTTCTTTTACAGGCACTTTGTTTACAGGACAAATCAAGGAAATCAAGGAAAAGGCACCTTTTCTCTTCCAGATCACTTTTAGAATCCAAGATTTGGTACACTGAGACAAATAAAAACACATAGCTAGGAAAGGGTAGATGAGATCCCACTTGTAACTTGCCTAAATAGAGTTGTTTCATTACCTGGCAACTTAAGTTCAATCTGTATTATTCTGAATGTATAATTGATGTGGCCTGTTTCCAGTAAAGGAACTTTTGTTTTGCTTTTTTCCCCTCACTTTCACTCAGGAGGAATGGCTTTCTCATTAGGAAATGTTCGCATGCCCTCAGAAAAGATGTTTGGAATAGAAAAACTCCCCGGAATCACAGATTAAAATGCCAGCAGAGTTGAGTATGTTCTTCCCCATTTTGAGCTAGTTAAATGAGAACTCACGCCATCCTCCACGCAGAGAACTTCTCAGGTA